TGACCATATCATAACAAAAACTCCCGCAGTTGATGAGTATTTCGATATATCATTTGAATTTCTAGACCGAATACATTTCGAGATATTCGACTTTAAAATGTTGTAGTCCAATAAAAAACACCCTGTACAATATAATTATACTAATATTTATTTAGTATACATTATATTGAAAGATGATTTATTATTTACTCCATACACCATATCAGCGACTCGCTAACAATTTCAATCATCATGAAAATTTGATATCAATCAAATAAACACATGGGTTGTGAATTTTAATCAATATTTTAATTAAAAAATAATAAATAAATAAAATAACAAAATACAAAATGAAGATTGTTTTGACACTCATGTTGTTGTCTGTGTGGACGGCCGTAACGTTGGCGGCGCCGATGCCTTTGGGCAAAGACACAGCTGATGACGCGTCTGAGTCGGACTCAGGCTCGACGTCCAACTCATCGGCCGACTCCGGGAGCGGCTCCGACGCCAAAGCGGTCTCTAAAGCGTTCAATAAGGCTTTGGCCAACTCTGACGCAAAGGCCTCCAAAAACTCGAGGGCCAAAGCGTTTTCCAGAGCCGACGGTAAGGCAGTGAGCGGTATGAGTGGTAGACCGGCATACGAAGCACCCAAAGGCTGATTCACTGAGACGGACACAATGAATCCTTAATTCTAGTTAATTTCAAATAATATTATTTATAAAATAGTTTTAATGATCATTATTTTATATTGAGAAAGTGTTCTTTTGAATATATTTGAGCTTACTTATGTTAGATTTATTTTTGTACATTTTGTATATTGATTACATATTGTGATTAATTAATGTAGAAGGTAATTAAGTTCATGATGTCATTTATAATTTTATTAAGTAATCTGATTTGTCTAAAATTGGTCACAAAATTTGGCAAATGTATAAATATTTTTAGCATTAATAATTATTTAGCTATCAACTTTTTATTATAGCTATTTATTAAAATTAAAAATTTATTTTATTTTAAATGTTCACTATAATGAACTGAAAATTATATGTATTTTTAAATAACAAATTATTTGTTTATAAATAAAACATTAAACAAATATTAAGTATTATAAATGAATTTAAATAAAAAATGAAATTGTTGCATAAAAAATTATTTAAAAATAGTGACAAAATTAATAAGTAAAGTAACACAAGTAATAGTAGTCGAGTGCTACCAGGCATTAATCTTAGGGACGGGTATACGCAGGTGAGGCTCCAGATTAACTAGCTCGCAACTTAACTCCCAGAGTGCCTGGGACATTTTCTCATCGGTTGCCGCCGGTACCATTTTATCAACACGTTCACAATTTCTATCATCATAAAATAAAAAACTAATAAATCATAGGTTCACAAATAAACCAAAAACTATTTTAACCTTGTTCAAAAAATACACTTACGAGTAGTAAAAGCCTGACTCCCCGTCCAGACCCTCAGTGAGAATACAGTGAAGGCTGGTTTGTGCGCCCAACTCGGGTGTCAACGATACTGTACGTGCTACTTTCTCGCTGATGGCACTCATGCCCATATGTCGACCTACATCGGTGTTCACGGCACCGGGATGTAGGCTATAGGTGTTGATTGTGGTGGCGTGTCCCAGCCGTTTGGCCAATTCACGCGTAAATAGTACGTTGGCCAGTTTGCTCTGAGCGTACGCTTTAAATGGGCTATACGCTCCACCACGTAGGTTTATGTTATCAAGGTGGATTTTACCCGCCAAGTGCCCAACGGATGACACGTTTACTACCCGTGCTTTCGGTGAGTTTTGAAGTAATGGCAACAAAAGCATTGTTAATAGAAAGTGACCTAAAATGATATTCAAATAGAATTTATTATGGTTAAAATATTAAATTTATTATATCATTATATTATTTTAATATTATATTTATAAAGGTATTTTCTGAAATTAATTTAGTTTTGTGAGTAATAAATTATTAGTTACTACAAATAAATTATTAATTTTTATAAACTAACCTAGATGATTAGTGCCGAACTGCATCTCAAACCCATCAGCCGTAGACCACTCGGGAGTATTCATTACTCCCGCGTTATTCACCAGAATATCCACACAATCGGTGTTTTGTAAGACCTGTTGTGCAAACTCTCGCACAGACTTGAGTGAAGCCAAGTCCAGCTCAAACAGTGTCAGGTCTGCCCCACTATTTCTCCCCTTTATGTCATTCATAGCCTCTTCGCCCCTCGCAATGGATCGGCAGCTCATTATTACCTTAATGTTCACAATTAATAAACCTGTTAGTTGTTTAATATAACAATTTTCAATCTAGAAACTTACTTTAGCTCCGCGTAACGACAACTGATAGGCTGTCTCTTTGCCGATCCCAGTGTTAGCGCCCGTAATAATCACTGTCTGGCCGTCCAGTCGTCGACTACTAGTGCAGCGATTGGATCGTCCAGTGGCCGCGCGGGTCATCTCTGAAATCATCTCGCAGGTAAACTTACTATAACTCATGATTTTTATCTTGTTGAAAACTTTATAATATACTTTATTTTATTTATCACGATATTTTGTTGAATATTTTATATTAATTTTTTCTCTGTTCCCTTTATATACAGTTTGATGGCATGTTTAGTACATTTGTTATTTTAATAGCATTTGTTGGTGCATTTCAAGTACAGTGCAAAATTGGTATTAAGCATGCGCTTATTTTTTAAATATACCTGTAATTAACTTTTATGAATCACAATATTATATTATTGCAGTTACACCATTGTCGTAATAATTGCATTGATGTTGATATCTGTTAAATGTTTACTTGAAAATTTCATACAAATTTTTAGACAAGTAGACAATATTAAATTATTTGATGATGTTTTTTGTATTTACTAATACATGTATTATGCAAACATTCAAACCTACCAAGGTCGCTTAATGCTATATGATCTGTGGAGACATTGAAAATACCTGAATGTCATTTTAATTGTATTTATCGATATATTTTTAAGGTTAAATTTTAGTGCTTTATTTTGCAAAATATTTATGGATATTTATAGATATAATATTATAATAGAAATTATTTTATAACAAATGAATTTTAAAAATAATCAATTGTAAATAACAAATATAATTTACGCATATTTTATTGTTTATTTAAAATATTATTACATTGATTTAATTAAATTACAAGTTGCGTATAATATAATTATATTAAATTTACATTAATTAAATATAAACAGATTTTAATGGTATAATAAAGTTTTCAACAAGATAAAAATCATGAGTTATAGTAAGTTTACCTGCGAGATGATTTCAGAGATGACCCGTGCGGCCACTGGACGATCCAATNTCCAATTTAGCCAGCGTTACATTAGCATGCTCATTTGTAGCCAGGATGTCGTCCAGTGCCTGCTTGCCCTTCTCTACCAGGCGTTGGCTTTGACCGCCGGGAGCCGGAAATGTGGCTCGAGGTTAACCAACTCACAGCTCAAATCCCATAGAGCCTGACCGGTCTTATCGTCGGTCGCCTGACCCACCATATGATCAACTCTTTGACAATTGCTATACATATAAACAAAAAAACAAACATGTTAAATTAATCAACTAATTAATCAAGCAACTTTAATCAAACATAGAATTAAACAAAAAAAAATTGTGCTTGAGCTTAAGTAATAATTTAGGGTTTCTTAATATGATATAACACCGACAAAAAAAACTCACGCATAATAAAAGCCGGACTCGTTGTCGAGGGAGGGCTCGAGCGCGCAGTACAGTATGGTCTGCGCGGCCACCGCCGGGCCCAACAGTATCCGCCTCTCCATGGCTTTGGCCGCCTGCGGGTCACCCACTATATGGACGCCCGGGTGAAGGCTATAAGTGTTTACTGTGCTGTTTGGTCCCAAACGCCTGGCCAGCTCTCTGGTAAAAAGCACGTTGGCCAGTTTACTCTGCAAAAACCCCTTGGTCTTTGAGTAGGCACCATTGCGCAGATTAATGTTATCCAGGTTAATCTTTCCGGCCATGTGCACTACGGACGACACGTTAATTATCCGGGCAGCAGGCGACTTTTTTAACATCGGTAGTAATAGCATTGTCAATAGAAAGTGACCTAAATAGATAAAAGTAATTAATTTCATTGAACTTGATTGTTATTTTATGACATTTACATTTAATAACACTAAATAAATAATTTCTATCAATTGCATTTATAAAACATTCAAGTTGTCTGTAAAATGTAAATAATTAAAATTTGTTTAAACCTGGTTCCATTGCATATAAAAATGAACATTTTTTACCAAAATATAAGTTAACATAAATTGTATACCGAAATGATTTGTCCCAATCTGGGCCTCGAAGCCATCATCAGTAGTGGTGCCGTCGGGCGTATTCATTACACCGGCGTTATTGATAAGCATATCAACATGGTCGTACAGTTGCATCATGGTTTGGGCAAACTCGCGCACCGATTTAAGCGAGGCCAAGTCCAATTTAGCCAGCGTTACATTAGCATGCTCATTTGTAGCCAGGATGTCGTCCAGTGCCTGCTTGCCCTTCTCCAGCGAACGACAGGCCATTATTACCTAAATAATTACACCCATGGTAATTATACACATTAATTTATACATCATATATTATATCCTATTAATACATATAAAAATGAACATGTTCACTTACTTTAGCGCCGCGCAGTGCCAATTGATGAGCAGTCTCTTTGCCGATACCGGTGTTGGCGCCCGTAATCACCACAACCTGGCCGTCCAGTCGGCGCTTACTATCGCACAGTTTGGCCCGATTAGCAACATTTCGCCCGATTTCGGACACTAGAGTATACACCAAATTAAATACACTCATTGTATGTATAATTGTGACAATTGTTACACTATTTCCCGATTTTAAAATGTAATGTTTTGTAGTTTTATGAAAAACACTGAATAATATTTTCTAGATTTCAGTGAATAAATAATATTTCTAAGAAATATATATGAATTATAATATAATGTGTTTTTTAAATGATGATTGTTTTACTGCTAAATAAAATGCTATTTCTTTTATAATGAATGCATTTCTTAATGTAAATACAATAATATCGTGAAAATATATAATTATCATATGAATTAGAGAAATGAGACAAATATTTAATGACTGTATTGGCATACATGCGCTTTAATAGCATGAATGCCCATGGACTTGTGCATAACTGAGCAAGCTTCCAAAAAATCTTTCAAAAAAAGTTTTTAACTAGACATTATATTTGTGATATTATGGAACATTACATTGAATGAATACAGGTGATAACAAATTGATTATAAAGTATGTTGCACTATAATGCGGGCAAATGCACAGAAATGCACGCCTTGCTCGTCGTTGGACTTGTGTACTGTTTTGTACGAGCACTTGTTTTGACCTTATTTATATTTAATTTCTTTATAGAATATTCTTTAAAATATTATTTTTAAAACGACAAATACTTAATATAAAAATTACAAAGGTAAATATAAATATAATAAATAATATAATATATAATGTAAATAATATAAATTTTTCATTTAATACAAACTGTTAATTATATGTATAAGTTTAAGTTTCAAATAAAGTATAAATCATTACAGATAAATAATTGGTTGGTTGGGGTACAAATGATACTTGATCAATTTTTTTAATTTGCTTTAAATACATTAAATTAGTAAAAATTAAAAATAATTTCATTAATTAAGTTAATATGAGTTAGTTCAGATTATGTTTAGCTAGTTTTCTATAATTTAATTATTTATTCAAACAAATGTTTTTAATGCAAATGTCATAAATCTAATAAATACAACATAATGCAAAAAATGCTTTAAAATAATTCATTAATTGTACGTCAATTTATTGCAATTTATAAAATTAGTAGTGTATAAGATTAATAATTAATTGTAGGCAATTATTTATTTAATAAGTAAATATAATTAAAAATTTATAATATAGTATAAATGATTAAACATTAACAAAATAATATTTTCAAACATAATGATAATGAGGTACAAATTGTGCTGACATTTACAACTATTTGTTAGCAAACAAATTATTATATAATTATTATCTCAATTTAATCATTTGATAATTATTCTTACAAAAATTATAATTTAATATAATTAAATAATATTATTAGCTAAATAAAACCTCTTTATAAAGCAGTTATATTTTAAATATTTTTATTTTAACTTGAAACAATATTTCATAAATAAAACAACCAGACATATACAGATACAAAATGTTACAATTTTAAATTTATTTTGAAATCATAATGAAATACAATACAAAATTTAATAAAATTAGTTAAAAATAAAACAGTTGTATTTTGCATCTACAGGCAAAGTAACCACTGAATTTATAAAATGGCCTCTTTATATAAACCGTAATTTATTGATCAAATTTAACCGAAATTTTTAATTGTTGGTTTGCTATAAAACAGTGTTTATTGACCTACAAATCAGTGCCATTCATTTGTCTGTACCTCTTCTGATTCCGGAGTAATCCTCTCCCGAAGAGGTCGACTTCCCGAATAACTTTGGCAATGCTATCCAATGGGAATCAATATTTTTAACAACTAAAAGTGACCAAATAATTTAATTGGCCGGATCAAATGTTAAAATTTATACCGAATTGTTATTTTCTTTAATCAATCTTTGTAACAAATAACTTTGGCGCATCTTATTATCTCGAATTCTAAAAGTGCCATAGTCATTATGCCAGACCCATTTCGGGACTCGACCTCTTCGGGAGAGGATTACTCCGGAAGCAGAAGAGGTACAGACAAATGAATGGCAATGATTTGTAGGTCAATAAACACTGTTTCATAGCAAACCAACAATTTAAAAAATTCGGTTAAATTTGATCAATAAATTACGGTTGATATAAAAGGCCATTTTATCAATGCAGTGGTTATATCACCCTCACCAGGCTTTGGACCTTTGACTGGCCCAATGCAACCGCACACACAGGGACGATATGTAGTGGGTTTGCCCTCCGCCACCATCATGTTGTTGGCCACCATAAGTACGGCAAACAATAGCATAGCAAACAATATCACAATTTTATGCATTATTATTATTAAATTGCAATATAATATATGCAGTTATTGTAATGTTATGTTAATTGTTGCCAACCTTTGGCTCTATTTATATCCCATTTTACTGGAGATTTTTGTGGTGTAATTTTGGTGTAACTGTAAATTCTGTTTGTTAAACCCAACTATAATTTTGCATGGTAATTTTGCGTAAGTAATTATTGTGGTTGGTCATTAAAAGTAATACTGTATATACAATTACATTTATTTAGTCAGCCGAATGATCATGAACACATTATTATAAATTACTGCATTGCCAAATAAATAACATGTAGAATTTAATGTAATTCATCAGGAGTGGCATGTCTTATTATCATAATAGAATTATAAGCAAATTAGCTAGCAACTCTATAATTTCAAAATAATTTTTAAACTATAAATTTTTAATTAATTAAATTTATAAAGCAATTAATGTTTTGTACAAACATATAATATTGTTAATATTATTTAAAAATCATACTAGTTAGAGTTAATTTTTACGTATTAATTAACAGTTTCGTATTATTTATAAGTAAAACTAAAACTTATAAAGTATTTGCAATAACTTTATATTAACTAATTTAAACTTAAAAACATCATGTTTAGTTTAGATAGCAATATACTGTATAGTATATAATAAGTAAACTATTATTATTCATAGCATTTGATATAAAAATCACAAAAATAAATGTCTTTAATAAGTTAATATAAAGTCTTTACATTTTTCAATGCTTAAGCTTAATGTCATAAATAAGTTTTAACATGTGATTCAATCGCTAAAAATTAAGAATATATTTTTTTTATTAACAGTCATATTTAAAATTTTAACTCAAATAATAAAAACACATGCAAATATCTCAACATTTTAATCAGTATATTTCATTTTATTAAATCAAATTAAATTTAAAGAACAACAATTTTAATTAAATTAAAACATTATTATTGTGGTAACTGTAGCAATATCAGGTGAGCACTCTAGCAGTTGCCACCGCCGCCACCGCCTCCACCGCCACCACTCTCACCAGTTTGGCCGTCACCGCCCGGACACAAGTAAGTTGATCCAGGGGTTACCCCACCACTAGGTGCTGGAGCGGGTGCTGGGGCTGGAACCGGGGCTGGAGCTGGTGCTGGAGCTGGAACCGGGGCTGGTACTGGGGCTGGAGCTGGAGCTGTAGTTGGACCCTGGCCATTTACCAATTGATTGTTGTAAACCATAAGCCCCGCAAACAATACTACTGAAAATAAAATCACAATTTTCTGCATAATTATTATCGTGTGTTTGAATTACAATAATAATTATGTAATTATTTGTATTACTATCTAATTGTGGCGAATGTCGGCTCTATTTATACTTTTTTCTGTCGGCGATTTGTTATGCAATCTATGCGTAACAGTAATCGTTTCAGGATATGTATCGTCATTTTTAAAAATTGCTTGATAATTTTGTTAAAGTAATTTATGTACCCTTACCAACAAAACTAATTTATATAATATACATGGTAATTTCGTATATCATGGTAATTTAGTTTAATAAAAATTTAGTAAAATATGTATATAAATACTATTGACTTGAATTGACCTAGTTTATATGTATTCTATAATTAGTGTTTGTGTAGACTACTAAACATTTTAAATACAATTTATGTTGATATCTACTGTAATTGTTATATTAATTTTTATATTACCATACTGGGTTCTGTCTAGACTTTCTAATGATGTGTACAACATTTTTATTTTTAAAATGATTTTAAAATTTTACAACATACTGAATATTGCCAAATTAACATGACAAATTAATTTATTTTATTAGTACAAGTATAATAAATTTCTCTAGAATTATTATCAAACAATTTTTAAAGATGAATGCTTACTTAATGCACATATTTCATGATTAAAAGTAACACATATATTGTGTAACAAATCCTATATACTGTACTCTAGGTATAAATATAGCCAACATTTACCAAAATTTTATAGTAATACAAAATCATAATATAATTATTATCTCAATTCAAAAACACGATAATAATTATGCAGAAAATTGTGATTTTGTTTTCGATGCTATTGTTTGCGGGGCTTATGGTTCACAACAACCATCTGGTGAATGGCCTGACCGCACCCGCACCAGCCCGAGCTCCAGCTCCAGCTCCAGCACCAGCACCAGCTCCAGCTCCAGCTCCAGCACCACCACCAGCTGGAGCTGGAGCTGGAGCTGGAGCTGGAGCTGGAGCTGGGGCTCGGGCTGGTGGTGGTGCTGGAGCTGGAGCTGGTGCTGGTGCTGGTG